AGAAGTCAATTAACACCTTAGCCATGTGGAATCCTAGTTTTACCTTGTACAATCTCACCAGGTGACAATTGATAAAAACGTACCCTTTTCTACATACAGTTGCTGAAAAGGGGACGACCATTTGATATTCTGACGGAAGACAGAAGAATTTTTTCGGATTGAATATTCATCGTCATCTGTTGCTACCTGGGAATATTATACTGTCAATCACGATTTAATGTCACAGTTGCTACGCATTCTTTTTCTTTTTTTGCTGCGCGAAAAATTTACTTAACTTTTGTACACAATTATTTCCTGCATTTTGTAATACAGATGTTAAAAATGTAAACCCTGTTTCTGTATAAGATACATGTACATAATTTACACTGAGATATTGCGGTTAATGCAACTAGATATATTTTAATAATTCAGGAGGGGGTCATTTAGCAATTTGATCTTATTTTATGGTAAAGCAGGATATTCAATTACTGATAATGATATCTTATTGTAAATTCATTCATTATTAATCAGAATAAGAAAATAGATAATTTTTACATAACAAGGATTTTACTGGTACTACGTCAGAAGGATATGTCCACATTTTCTAATTATAAAACCAAATACATTTTCTAAAGAATATATAATTGCATTACCTGTTCTTCGAGATACTCAAAATGTTAGAGTGTTGAAATACAATATGTTATGAGTAAGTAAATGTATACATGAACGCATGCTGATTAATCAATATAAGTAATGACAGCTGTATAATAAAAATAAAAAAAAAACTACATCATTTGTTACAAAAATCTAATGTGCATGTCTTACTATACGTTTAAAATCCCTGTATATGTACAATACATAATAGCTAGGGGGGGGGGGGGGGTCACATTCTCATATAGCTCTGACCCTCTCAGTCCTTATTATTTGTCATATTAGTTGATCTTTGTTTTTTAAGATTAAGACTCCAGATTCTTATGTTTTATTTCGGGGAAAACGGGAGTGGTAAAAACAAGTTCTCCGATAACTCTTACATAGATATGTGATTTTATATGAGTAAAATTTGACCCTCACAATCATAAGTCTTATAAGCACAATATTATGTTGTATATATTAACACACGACATAGATAAATATTTTCTTAAATATTGTTCATAAAAAAAGTCTGGTTTTTAATCATAAAAAAAAAATCTAAACAAAACATGTAAAATATACGGCAAAACTGTATTCAAGTGTAATATATAGCGATGGATAATTCATTTGTTTTATGAATTTATGGAAAACGTTCTTTGTATATCATTTTGCCTCCGAACTTGCAAATGAAGAAGAAAAAATCCTGGGGATTTGTCCCTTATTCTTTTCCATAGAATTGCAGTTTCAATTCACATAATTCTGTAATGTTTTACGCATCATTATTGTCTTTCAATTTAACATAAGCCGAGCTAATATTTGTACTATATTCGAAGTCAACACCAAAAATCTTCAACTCTGCACAAGTATATGTCATCCTATCATTGTTTTATTTTGACTTTACCTTCTGTTTTTATAACTTAACATTTTACGGTTTCAAGTCAAGACCAAACTACTTCAAATTTACATCGTGTAGTTTCAAGTCAACACATTGTATGATAAGCCTCTCGTGACGTCATAATGATATAACATCGTGCTATCTTAGCTCAACAACACGTACTTTCAACTGTACGTCGTGTAGTTTTGAATGAGCATAGTGTATGGCAAGCCTATCGGGATATTATTATGATATAACATCGTGCTACCATAGCTCAACATCACATACTTTCAACTGTACGTTGTGTAGTTTTAAATGAGCATATTGTATGGTAAGCCTATCGTGACATTCAAATGATATAACAACATGCTATCTTAGCTTAACATCATCTAGTTTCAACTGAAAATCATGTAGTTTTAAGTGAGCATATCGTGTGGTAAGCCTATCGTGACATTCTAATGATATAAAAACGTGCTATCTTAGCTTAACATCACGCACTTTCAGCTGTACGTGGTGTAATTTTAAATGAGCAAATTATATAATAAGCCTATCGTGACATTATAATGATATAACATCGTGCTGTCTTAGCTGAACAACACGTACTTTCAACTGTACGTCGTGTAGTTTTAAATAAGCATATTGTATGGCAAGCCTACCGTGATATTATTATGACATAAGATATTGCTATCATAGCTCAACATCACGTACTTTCAACTGTACGTCGTGTAGTTTTAAACGAGCATATCGTGTGGTAAGCCTATCGTGACATTCTAATGATATAACAACGTGCCATCTTAGCTTAACATCACGTACTTTCAACTGTACGTTGTGTAGTTTTAAATGAGCAAATTGTATAATAAGCCTATTGTGACATTATAATGATATAACATCGTAATATCTTAAATTAACATTACAAAATTTCAACTGTACGTCGTGTAGTTTCAAGTGAGCATCTTAGCTTAACACGTTGCATCGTGTTGTTTTAAGTCAACAAATAGTATGGTAAGCCTTTCGTTTCAATATAGTAGTGTAGCATCGTGTTTTCTTAACTTAACATCATGTACTTTCAACTGTGCATCATGGTGTTTTAAATCAACAGATTGCATGATAGACCTATCGTAATATCACAATGATATAACATCGTACATTCTCAGCTCAACATTTATTAATAACATGTCAGCACCATACATTTTAGCTATTCATTTTATTTGTTATCATAGCTATCGAATTGTATGACTGAGCAGTATCCATCTGCAAGCTAACATCATGCAACGTCAACTTCACATCATGTTCTTTAAACCCAACGTTACGTGTGTTTGGCATATCATCACAACATCGTGACTTATCATTATACTATCACGACTAAAGCACTTGTCATTGCAAGTCAACATTGTGCAAATTCAACTTAGCATATTGTAATTTAGAGTTAGCATTTTGATGACTCAATTCAACATCACGCTGTCTTAACTTTACATTTTAAGCTTCAGCATAAAGTTTTGTAAATATCTAATATATGACAGCTGAGGCTTTCCATATATTTTCACGTCTAATTTTTTCGAGTACTCCGGCCTGCTCTTGTCACGTGAACTTTATATTGTCTTTTCGTGAATATAACAATTTAAAAGTCATGTCTGTGCAGATTAAAAAAAACTAAAGATAAATATTTTTATGAAGTAGGTTATCCGTTAAAATATTTTTACTATGTTTTATACAATTCTAAGAAAAGGTTGTCTCGATTTCTGTACTTATAACATATATATTTGCAGTCTTATCGATCTATTAACTTTCAATGTTTACATCGGGTAAGGTCCGTTTGAATTTGCTTAGTAACTGAATTTCAAAAGTGTTAATCTTTGCTGCATATCAATCGATTCCATTGGCATCCCCCCTCCCGAACTTCTCTGATCTAGATGCATACATATACAGATATTTGGCGTGTTCCAGAGAGGTATCCAGCCAGTAAAAAATAATTTGAAGTTGAGACTCCTGAAACTATTCGCATACAACATTTTAAACCCATTACACACAAAGCTTCTTTAGCCTGCTGTACTCGTTGTTTGCTATTTGAAGAGGGAAATGATAACATTATATAACAATTTTGTTTTTATTTCAATTACATTTTATTGAACGTTTTCTTGTGAATTTACGATTTTAAATAGCGTCCTTGCTAAAACGAGACAAACATTGAAAAGATCAAGATTTCTGTGTTTACAAGGGAGGTAATATTTTGTCACTAGACTTCCCACTGGAACTGTTATCAAAAACTGCTCAAAACTTTGTCCAACTTCGAGGAATACAATAATTATGATAGATGAAAAATTTAATCATCTACAATGACAGATGAAAAATTGAATGATCTGCAATGCTCAGCAATTTTCAAAAAAAAAATTTGGAGAGGAAGAATAAAATCGTGAAATACAATTAATGATTTTACATTAGATATTTTAATGGTTGATTTGTAGATTTGTTAAATTTTTAACCCAATTCATGACTCCATTCCACCGTCCACTCAACCTTTTAACGCAATTTTTAACCAATGACTTCACTCCAAAACTCCACTTCACGACTTCACTCCACTCAACTGTTTCGTACATGCCTTCCAGAAATTAGAACGTAAACTATTTATTATCAGAAGTTAATTTTCTGATGGAATCTGTGTGAGGCTTAACGAGTTGGGTTTAACCACGAAAACATTGTTCTACATTTGCGGATCCAAAAGGCCAGACCCGGGGTTTAGAAACCCCCCCTTCTTTCGATTTAAAAAAAAAAACAACAATTTATTATGTGAACGTTTCATGGTGTTCCGGGGGTTGGAACCTCCCTTTTAAAAATGGCTGAATCCGCGTCTGTGCTAGAATATACACTCGTTATACTTGTGTAATAAATGTATTCCCTGTTCTTATTTACCTCAAGCAGATTATGTTCTAATCCTTTCTTATGATTTTACTACACATCTCAATCGATATATACCAGTAATTTTATTTTACGAGTCGCAACACACCAACTGCACACGTGGTTGAAATAATTGCTGATCGATCGTTATGTACGACACATTCTCATTCCGCTCATAATACATCTTGACAATTATCTGCATATCAGAGTTTCGCACAAAATTGTTCATTGACGAAATTAAGTTATTCAAAATGAGTATTAAACCTAATGCCTTTTGGGAATGATATATGGTCAGTATGGCTAAATTTATTCTGTCTTTTTAATCAAAATTACTTTTGTTATTTATGATTTATTCCTCTAAAGGGAACTGCATAGAGGCTAGTATGATAAATAACACATGTACATATATTATGTCCACGAATATATATATTTCCGGGTTCATGTATGAACATGAATAAAAACGGGAAAGAGATAAAATCATTCTACACTTTATACATTTTCCGGTGACAATTTTTATATAGTTGATCAGCTTGGATTAAAAATTAGCTCAAAAATGTATGTATGCTATCAACTCACTACATGAATTACTAGAATATTATAATTATTAGAATAAAAAGCGTCTTACTTTTCCAGTCTGTGTGGTAAAAAGACAAGTCTACTAAGTCCAAACGTATAACTCGCTATCTTCCGAACAACACTGGATTGTTATCATGGTTATCGCGATCATTCAATTTCCTTGATTATTTACTTTCAATAGCAGAGTCTAATTTTGGACAGGCAGCTTTAAAGTATACATTAAGGAACTGATTGATTGAACTATGATACCGCATATAGATGAATGTATACGTTATTTTTGGAATATTACGACGAAATCATTTGGACGTTTTGCTATTTATTATCTGTAAAGAAAAGATACCAAATACACACATCTACTTAAAGTTAAAGATAACGCTAGCTGACACGTTTTATTTTATCAGTGAGATATGACATGGTAATACACGTGTCACGACAACCTAGTAATGAATATTTAGACTGACAACGAATAAATTATATAATTAAACGAAATTTTGATTGAAGTTTAATTAAAAATCCGTGAAACAATACAGTACATAGGTGAGGGTGTGGATGATATAAAACAAAAGAATACAGAAATGAAGGACTCCCCATCCAGACCCTCATAGGTGGGCCCATAGGTGTTACGTGAGATGAACAGCCTCGTCATGATATCAGACTTCACAAATGCAACAACTATGTACCACTATTGTTTCACGGAATTTTAATTAAACTTCAGTTAAAATTTCTTTTAAAATATAAGATTCCATTTCACAAATATGGTACATAGCTGTCTCGTGAGATGTTTAGAGATATTGCATCTTTTTTATCCGAAAGATTCCTGGAGATTAGAATCAGTAATTAATACACATATATGAAGTTAACATATTTATCTAATCATGGATCTGATCAACATATTTACATTGCATTACTGATAATCGCATTACAGAAACTGGTATCTATCATGGTTAACAGGCTTATAATAGAATTTACGAAAAGTGCATTGATTAGTCCAGTCTGCGGTGCGTAAAATAGTCGAAAGTGGTAAACCTTTACTATAAGCTTGAGAAACAGACGCTGATCTCACACTGTGAGGTTTAAATGCGGAGCAATATATACCAGCTACTATTATAAGATTCTGAGGGGGGGGCTGACAAATTTGATGAGGTCAGAATATTTATTTCCAACATAAAATGGGTCAGATAATTTATTTTCACTCAGACCAGGGCCAGAATATTTATTTTTCTGCTCATCCTCAAATTGACACAAAAACTGCCCCTCCTCGTCCCCCTCAGAATCAAATGTTCATCCCCTAAAGTAATTTAACTTTAACGTGGGACAGTGGTGTAACAGCATATAATATAAACAAACTATAAAAATCAGTTGAAAAGAGCATAACTCATCAGATCGATACAAAGGAGAAAGGCAAGTAACAAAAACACAGAACGGACGTGGCAGGGTGTTTATACATCCCCACAACAAAAAAGACACTGAGTACAGATCTGAGAGTACTCACAGTTACTGAAAGCTAGTTCAAGCCAATAACAACTACTAGTAATAAAAAATCTAAGTATCTAAACTAAAATATCTATCAGTCCACATCCAACATCCAATGGATTTAGTGTAAAGACGTCATTTACAGTCAGAGAAAATATGACCTTGTGCAATGCCAAATTACAGGTATCGACAGATTTTAGAACCGTGAATATGCATTTGTAACAATGAAATTTATTAGTTTGGTTTTAATTTATTGATAACAAAATCAATATTTATACCAATTAAACAATATTCAAAGATCTAATTACAGTTTTGAATTAGTAACCTTTTAGAATAAGTTTATTTAAAGGATTGATGAGTTTACCCGAATCGTATTTGAAAACTAAAGACTGAGCAAAACGAACTCCACCAAAAACCGGGGGGATCTCAGGTGCTCCGGAGGGGTAAGCAGAAAAAGAAAAAGAAAAAGACAAACAGACAAACAACAGTACACAAAACACAACATAAAAGGGTAAAGTTTTTTTGGTTTTTAAAGTAAGTAAGTAATTTGTGGTAACGAAAATCCTGACTTAATAACTCATTTAAATTCATAAATTCACTACAGACACAGGCATAACTATTTTGCATTATCTGTAAATATTGGAGCGAAGCTAGCCAACATTTTTTGAAACAAATTGAATATTTTGGCCAGAAAATTTATTTTCATGTGTAATAAGGCAAGATTATTTATTTTCACCTAAATGGAGGCCAGAATATTTATTTCGAAAATCTTAACAATATCATTCGAAAACTCTAAATTACGTATATCTAATAAATAAATAGACTGTAACCTTTGTGCTGTCAACAAAGACTATAAAGAAACACATTTCAAAGTTATACACAGCTAACAGTTCTAACTGACCGGGGCTATGGTATAAAAGGGAGACAGTTCAAATATTGGTCAGGGTTAAGAAGTGAGAAGCATTTTTCAAAATTTTAATTCTAAAATTGCTTTTTTCTTTGCTATTAAACTTGTGCAGTTGTCATAAACTCCGCTCCATCCCGTTAAAGACACATCTGATGTAATTATAAGTTCGGTATTTCTTACACGTACGCACTCAGTATTGCTGGTCTATATACTTTTTCGATCTAACAATTAATATCTTGCTTACACATTTCATTGAGACGGCATGTTGCGTCATAATTGCCTCGGTGTTTCCGTAACTGTTCGCTTTTTGTTATATGCAGTCTTTTGTGAAATAATTGGGCATACGGAACCCCGTATTCGCTTGCTACCATTTTTCCTATTAAAGTAGAAAATTCTCTGATAGAAATGTAATCTTTGCAAAAAAAAATTTTTAGTACATACTAAGTTCCTTGAATCTTTTTGTGCGAGACTTATATTGCCAACCGGCTGTGGGTAGACGAAATAATTACGATTGACATACCTGGTGAGGCCTGCTACTAATGATTCCGACAACAAAGGTAGGAGTGTTATACACCATTGTGCAGATAAATCAATTTAGATTTACGGCATAACAAGTTTTAGTGGGGTTGACAACCGAAAAATCGAGATATAACAGAAGTTCGCGACCGGGTGACATTTATCAAAAATGCGAGTTAAGTACCTTATGTTATTACTATACTATATATAAAAAATATTAATTTTCGCGAACCATTTAGGTCACGGAAATTCCAAAAATTCCCAAGAGTAAGGAGAGTTGTACAAATAATGTGAGTACATAGAACCCCGATCCAATCCATCTTTTATACAAATAGTTTATTATTCCCTGTTTTATATCTATTTACAGCATTCCGTTTTTTTATAATTCCTATTTAATTGTGCAAAAAACTGCATTAAAAATAGATATTCCCAAAGTTAAAATTCCGCTGATTGGTTGAACTACTGAGGTGATCCCTAAGATTCACAAACATAACTATAAATACATTTCATCCGCTGAAATGTAATTCTTACGTGAAGCTACTGTAAAGGTAATATATTAATCCCGATGTAATCTTCGATATCAAATGAAGCGGAAACTGTATACCAGAAGAAGAGAAGACACTGACAGATTGTTAAATGAACGTCTATATAATGTTGTTACATAAAATCCGATAGTGAGTAAGGATCTAACCCGCCATAAGGAAAATTCCATAAAGAAGAATTCTTCGACTTTGAAAACGGAGAATATTATCTTTTTGTTTTAAGAAATTCCGTTGAGCATTAATTACAATTCATTTGTATTGAATTTGGGTGCTGTTGACTTTTGTCGTTGAGAGCGGTAAGTAACAATCCCATTTCTTAGAAATGTAAACAATGGACAAAAATGTGATCCTTGACGATATGGGTCACTGACATTTTTCTCTGATTTTAATATCTAACCATTTAATAATTTCTGAATTATCTGTATTTGCAATATCTTTGTATATATATATATATAATATAGCTATAGTCTGCATGAACCAACACATTGAAAATATTATTTCAACAAACATGTTCAATACTTGAAGAAAAAAAAAACATGCAGTGAAATTTTTTGGCTAAAATACTCAGAAACGTGACGTCTATCCCCCCAAACCTGTCCTTTTTATAATTATGAACACTAAAACGCTCCATATGAAGCCAAAACATCTCCCTTTTTAGTTTTATGGAACGCTTAGTCATGTCCACCGTTATTAAATAGTGATTTGTAAACTAATCACTAATAAATGGCCTTATATTTTGGCAGTCACCATTACACATTAACACTGACAGCTACAATGTGGAACCCTTTCCCAATAGTATTAATTAAGGTATATAGGAAATTTTTTTCAGAGACAAGTGCCTGTGACCTGGTGGTAAGGTGTGAAATTGTAACCGATAACCCGTCAACACTTCTAGAACTGATTTATCACTCGTGATTTCAATTTTCAAGATTGTTTTTTACTTTACCAGCTCCAAAGTTTTCAGGAGTATTTAACAAGATATGAAATCTCACATTTAGTTCTCTTATCTAATTGTGTAATCTGACTAACCTGTGGAACTACAGTTTGTTTGGTTTGTGGAACTATTATTATTCATTCAACGACACAAACATAGTTTAGTAAGCTCTATCGTAGTCCAGAGCGAGGAATTCACGTTTTACAATGCGACTATTATTTTGCAAAAGTATGTCGCCATTTTTATACGACCGCAAATTTTTTTTTGCGTCGTATAATGCTATGTCGTCGTCGTCGTCGTCGTCGTCTGCGTCGGCGTCGTCCGAAGACACAATTGGTTTCCTGACAATAACTTTAGTTTAAGTGAATGGATCTCTAAGAAATTTTACCAGAAGGTTCAATACCACAAAAGGAAGGTTTGGGGGTTATGATACCAACAGTTTAGGAATTAGGGGCCAAAAAGGGGCCAAAAAGAAACATTTTTGTAGTTTCCGGACAATAACTTGTGTGTTAGTGTATAGATCTCTCAAAAAGAAATTGTACCACAAGGTTCCATATCACAAAGGTAAGGCTGGTATTGAGTTTGGGGGCAATTGCCCAAACGGTTCAGGAATTAGGGGCAAAACGGGGCCAAAAACAAGCATTTTTCTAGTTTCCAGACAGTAACTTGTGTTTAAGTGTATGGATCTCTCTAAAATTGTACTACAAGGTTCCATACCACAAAGTGAAGACTGGGATTAATTTGGGGGTAACTCCAAGGAGGAAGGGGATCAAAAAGTTTGGGGGGATTTGTTTTTCAATTTTTTTGGGGGTTCATATTTTTTTTCTTCAAAATT